GCCAAAGACCAATATTACTACCACAAAATATTACAGTATATATATCTTCTCCAGGCCGGCATATCATGTATTTCCCTATGTATTCCTGCTCTTACAGATCTTATCATTCCAGACCGACACATAAGATTGTATCAAATTAGTAATGATTGTATTTGATTGTCAACCTTATAATCCAAGATGATTGTAGGTTTCAAATATCAACGTATTTTTATTTACTCGATTTTTTTTTTACGTTCCAAATTTCCTCCAGTTGACATTAAAGTTTCATAAACAAGTTGTAGAGTGTTTCGGAGTTTAACCGACCAAAACACAGTGAGGTTTATAAGCTGTGAGCACCATGTCGGGACAAGAGTCAATACAAACACTAAAACCTGTATCATTAATTTATGTTTTCAACCACAAGTATAGTGAAGATGATGTTGGTCTCTATCACTGTTTAGTTGCGTTTATTTTATCTATTTGCTTTGTTCTTTTACTGTGTGTGTGTGTGTGTGTGTGTGTGTACAGTATAGCGTGTGTGTGTACGAGGTATGAGTGTACAGTATAGTGTGTGTGTGTGTGTACAGTACGGTGTGTGTGTGTGTGTACAGTATAATGTGTGCGTGTACAATATGGTACTGGGTGTGTGTACGGTACGGGGTGTGTGTGTACAGTACGGGAGGGGTGTGTACAGTACATTAGCCAGATCACTGTACAGTACACTAACAAAACTCCTTTACTGTTCGAAACTGTACTGAACGAGACCCTACAGCGCCATCTACGGGTAGGTACTGTACACCAGCTGTTCCGAGTTTCACCTTTGTTCGTGAGTGTTTGTACACTTTAAAACGAGAGAGAGAGAGAGAGAGAGAGAGAGAGAGAGAGAGAGAGAGAGTATTGACGGAAAAGAGTGTTATTGACGGTATAATTAGAGACAGACAGACACACAGACAGACAGACAGACAGTATTAACGGTATAATGAGACAGAGAGACAAAGTACTCTACGTGTTTATTTACAATAGAGATATTTCCCGCCATTATTATGACGTCTGACGCCGCGCTTCAGTAATTGCATGGGAACGTTGGATTAATATTTAATTTCCCAGCTTAGAGCAAAAGGGGGGAGGTGGTGAGGGTAGGGAGGGGGGAGGTGAGGGAGAGGGAGGGGTGGGGAGGTGAGGGGAGAGAGGGGGGAGAGGAGGTGAGGTGAGGGGAGAGGATGGGGTGGGGCAGGAGAGGAGGGGTGGGGAGGTGAGGGGAGGAGGGGTGGGAGGTGAGGGGAGAGGAGGGGATGGGAGGTTAAGATGTGTGTGAGGTGATGGGGTGTACTTATCAAATTCATCAGGGGTGGAGGAGGAAGAGGGAAAATAGGTTTGGTGTATTTATGGTTGGAGAGGCACATGTTCAACCTAGCTAATTCTCAACCACAGAAAGAGAATCATGGGGCCGTGACATGCGAGCACTCCTTCCCTCCTCTCCCTCCCTCCCTTCCTCCTCTCTCCTCTCTCCCCATTCTCATGACTGCGCTGGCTGAACTTCGACTTGCATTGCATTACAGCCCCCCCACCTAGGAAGCTTCATAGCACCTGTGTATAGTGATGTCACATTGCCTTACATTAGTGAATTGTCAATCACAGGCAACCAGGAAAATCCACTCCTCCTCCTCCTCCTCTTCCTCTTCCTCCTCTTCCTCCTCTTGCTTCATAGGGTTAGCAAAGGAGAAAGACGAGGGTCGGGTGATGGCCGGCGCGGACCCTCACCACTTGATGAAACCACGGCCATGTCCAGCCACGAGTGATGGCCGCCGCGCACGCTACTCGCTTCACTGACGGCTCCAAGAGTTTACAAGCTTCTTACCGGCTGCTAGATTGGAATTCATGGGATTATGTTGATTGTATTTGTGGGTAATAAGTCTGTGCATCGTTGGGAATCAAAATTTCATGGTTTATATCAGTCAAGTTGAATAAAATAGTGAAATATCGCCCGGAGACGCAGGGTGGAGCGATGGCCGTCACGTATACTAGCCGCTGCGCTGGTTGGGTCTGCCTTCAGTACTGGACCGACTACCACTTCAGTTTACTCGCCCTCACTACTCTACCACTTCAGTTTACTCGCCCTCACTACTCTACCACTTCAGCTTACTCGCCCTCACTACTCTACCACTTCAGTTTACTCGCCCTCACTACTCTACCACTTCAGTTTACTCGCCCTCACTACTCTACCACTTCAGCTTACCGCCCTTACTACTACTACCACTTCAGTTTACTCGCCCTCACTCTCTACCACTTCAGTTTACTCGCCCTCACTACTCTGCTACTTCAGCTTACTCGCCCTCATTACTACTACCACTTCCATTTACTCGCACTCTCTCTGCTACTTCAGCTTACTCGCCCTCACTACTACACCACTTCAGCTTACTCGCCCTCACTACTACTACCACTTCAGCCTCGCCCTCCCACTACTACCACACCCTCCACCACTACCACACCCTCACCACTACCACCTCACCACTACCACACCCTCACCACTACTACACCCTCACCACTACCACACCCCTCACCACTACCACACCCTCACCACTACCACACCCTCCCACTACTACACCCTCAGCACTACCACACCCTCACCACTACCACACCTCCACCACTACCATCACACTACCACACCCTCACCACTACCACACCCTCACCACTACCACCACACACTACCACCTCCACTACCACACCCTCACCACTACCACCACACTACCACCCTCACCACTACCACACCCTCACCACTACCACACCCTCACTTCACCATTTCAGCTCACACCATCCTGACTTCAGCTGGCCCTCAACCACCTGAAAAATGCTGATGGTTCAGTGAAACGTCTGTACAAGCACTCACACTCAGCATAATACAGGGCTAAGTTTCTATACCGCCCTCTCCCCCTCTCTCTCCCTCTCCCCTCTCTCTCCCTCTCCCCTCTCTCTCTGTCCCCTCTCTCTCCTCTCAGTTGAGATTAATATCATATCTATCCGTAGGTCAGAGCAATGCTACCTCTCTCTCTCTCTCTCCCTCTCCCCCCCTCTCTCTCCTCTCCTCCTCTCTCTCTGTCCCCCCTCTCCTCTCTCCTCTCAGTTGAGATTAATATCATATCTATCCGTAGGTCAGAGCAATGCTACCTCTCTCTCTCTCTCTCCTCCTTCCATCCCCCACTCTCTCTCTCTCTCTCTCTCTCTCTCTCTCTCTCTCTCTCTCTCTCTCTCTCTCCTCTCTCTCTCTCTCTTCCCTCTTCCATCCCAACCTCCCTCCCTCCCTCCTCCCTCTCTCTCTTTCTCTCTCTCTGTCTCTGTCTCTGTCTCTGTCTCTCTCTCTCTCTTCCCTCCTTCCATCCCCCAACCTCCCTCCCCTCCTCTCTCCTCTCTTTTCTCTCTCGGATGATACGCTTCTCTGCTATAGACGACTAAAATATTCTAAGTGTATCTAGAGCCAGGCTTCCTAAAACTCTATAAACTTATTTTGATTAACAGAAAGAACTCTAATCAAGACTTGCCTCAATCCATAATGACTTAGAGATATTAATAAATCCGATACGATGAAATGAGAGCGATGGAAAACAAGCAGGGTGAAGCGATGACCGACGCGTACCATCATCCCAGCTTGGCGAATGTGCTCAATGCTAAATGTCTTCGGATAACTAGTCTCAAATGTGAATTAGTTAAGCGTATGTCTGTATATGTTGATTATTATTACACCAACAATATAATTTGTGTCGATGGCTGCCTGCTGGTCGATACAAATATCTAATATTTTTATAATTTGTTGAAGGAAAGCTGTGAATATGCTTGTATTAAACTCCAGCTTCATCCAGCAGATATATGAGTGCACATATTCGCTCTCATCACACAAACCAATTTTCAGGCTTTGTCTACAGAATTTTACAAACGCTTAACTGTAGTTCAGCTTTGTCATGACATTACTGAATATTTTATTGTTGCTAGCTTATGAAAAAAAAGACAAGCACAAAGGAGTAACATTTCATATGTGAAATATGTAGTAGTGACAAAATTGTGTTCTTTTAACTGTGCATATATCTGGGCTGACAGGGAGGGACATTACACCTAATTATTCATCCGTATATTATTCTGCCATTCGTATTTTGGGACAGATTCTTGTTTTAGTTCCTGGGAAAGCTGGGAGTGGCGGGTTGGGTATCCTGCGACACATGATATACGGCCGGCAACATGATATTAAATAATCAGCTAACTCCCTGGTTATAGTCGTCCCGGTCAGCTAATAGTGGTATGGTCTTATTGGTGCTTCTTAATTGATAAAACATCACTGCTCAACAACCCTGGAATATTCGATCGTTTCCATGTGTTGTTTTATCTTGTCTTGGCTGGAGTTACATTATGACTCAGAGAAAAACGTCTCTCACATCCTCACAGCCAAGAGTGACATGTTACCATTCTCCTTCCTCGTATCTGGGTGAAGTCAATGTGTGTCATGCATTGTCAGGATGGTTGGGTGTAGCTGCTAGCATGACAGATCTTAAGTCATGGGAAACTAGGCCTACCAGATAACAATGATGGTTGGTTGTAAATTCAAAACCATGGTGGTAGCTGGCAGCGGTGCGGGCGAGTCTCCACTAGGTGTCGCTTGATCCACAGAATCACGCATATATTTTTTATTGCATACGGTAAGTTTAAATAATTGCATGGGCAGTACACATATCTGGTGGAACATATGATAACGTCGGCAGTAGTGCATTTGGTCGTAAATTTCATGTGTATATTAAAAAGGCGGCTTATGGGCGTATGGCATCCGTGGTAACCTAGTGTCGTAAACCTCTCTATTACACCATCTTTGTTCTTGCATCTGTGTTATATTCCTGACATTATTCTTCTTCTCTTTCATATTAATTACATACAAACACGCTGTAAACGGCAACGAAATGATAATTAGATAAGGGACAAATTAAAATATAGCGAGAAGAGTTTCAATGTGGCATCCAGCGTGTGTGAGTTGGTTGGTAGTGACTAGACGTCCAGAATCTTACCGACTGCAGAGCCAAGCGCATCCCCAACCAACGTCACTTCGCCTCGGTTTTTAGGCATTTGGAACATCTGTGGGCATTTTATAGTGATATTTTTGAGTTTACATTAAAGAAGAAGGCTTATATTGTGTGTGACATTTGCAAATCTCGGGATACCTTTGGTGAGTTATGATCTAAAGAGCCTTAAATTGAACTTATTCTTGTTATTGGTGGTTTGAGAATTTTGGACTCACAAGTGTTGCCAGATTTCGGATATCCATTGTCGAGTTGATGGGCTAGTCCTCCACGCCAGGAAATATGACGTTTGCTTGTTTGATGTAGTTGTAAGCGTCTATGTACATGAAAAGATGTTGTAGTGGTAAAAGTGATGAGTGTAGTGAATGTGTTAGTGCTTAATACATAGTGTAGCAGTTTACCAGCAAGAGACAGGACAGCCCTCCACGTCTACTACTCCTTTGTCCCTGGGCATATTTAGCTTCGCTTTATCAGCGCTCAGCTTTTAAGTCAAGTGCTAACAAATCCTACTGACTGGATTGCACGGATCATAGCCACACG